CATCTTTGAAGCCAAAGGAGAGGTCTCTATGAGTTGGATCCAACTCAACAGTAGTGGGGGGAAAAAAACGCAAAAAAAAAAAAAAAAACCCATTCTACTTTGGTGAGTAGTGACTGGGATCCTAAAAGCTTTCAAGTCGCCATCTAGATTCACTCCCTACACAAAAATGAACTCAAGTTGGATCAAAGACTTAAATGTAAAACCCAAAGTTATAAGGTTCATCAAAGATAAACAGGAGCAAATCTAGGGGCCCTAATCTATGGCATAAATAGACTATCAAGCATAACCCAAAATGCACAGGCAGCAGAAGAGAAGTTAGATGACCGGGACCTTTTAAAAATCAGATTCTTATGCACATTGAAAGATTTCTCCGAAAGGGTAAAAAAAGAATCTACAGATTGGGAAAAAAAAAATATTTGGTTATGGCATATCTGACAAGGGACTTAGCTCCAAAATTTATAAGAAACTTCAACACATCAACACCAAAAAGAGAAACAACCCAATTCAAAAGTGGGCAAAGAACATGAACAGACACTTCACTTAAGAAGATATACTGGAAGTCAACAAACACATGGGAAATACTCATGATCATTAACCATTGTTGTTGTTATTTGCCATCGAGTCTGACCCAACTCATAGTGACCCCTCCTTGGGTTTCTGAGGCATTATCACTATGGAAGTAGATTGCCCATCCTTCCTTCCGAGGAGTGGTGGGTGGGTTTGAACCACCAGCCTTCTGGTTAGCAGTCAAGTGCCTTGGGCACTATGTTACCAGAGAGAGTCAAATAAAAACAACAACGAGATATCATCTCACTCTAGCAATAATAGCAAAGTTCAACAAGATAGAAAATAACAAATGCTGGTGAGGTTGTGGAGAGATTGGAACTCTCATACACTGCTGGTGGGACTACAAAATGGTACAACCACTGTAGGAAATGGTATGGAATTCCCTTAAAAAACTGAAAATAGGAATACCATTTGACCTAGCAATTCCTTTACTAACATATATCCTTAAGAGGTTAGAGACAGGACACAAACAGACATATATGCACACCAATGTTCATCACAGCATAATTCACTATAGCAAAGAGATCAAAACAACCTAAATGCCCATCAACAGATCAACCAAACTATGGTACATTCACACAATAGAATACTATGGAACACTAAAGAATGATGAAGAATACATGAATCATCTCACGATGTGGATAAATGTGGAGGGCATTAGGCTGAGTGAAATAAGTCAATCACAGAAAGACAAATATTGTATGAACCCATTACTGTAAAAAGTCAAGGAAAGGTTTACTCAGAGAAGGCAATTCACTTTGTTGGGTATTGGGGACGGGAGGGAAAGGGAAAGAAAAATTTGGGCTAGTAATCATATACATATTTTTTAAAAAAGCTCGTAAGTGGCCATCTAGATTAATGATGGGTATCTATCTACTCTCCAGAGCAAAGAACAATGAAGAAAACTAAAGACACATGGAAACAATTAATTGAAGAGAGTAGTAGACCATGTGATCCTCAGCCTACATGACCATGACACCAGAAGAATTAGATGGTGCCCAGCTACCACTGTCAACCACTCAGAAAGGGATCAGTACAGGAGATCCTTGATAAAGTGGGAGAAGAATGTGGAACAAAACTAAAAAAAAAAAAAAAAAAAAAAAAAAGGAACAGGTTTGCTGGTCTGATAGAGCCTGGTGAGACTCCTGAGACTATGGCCGCTAGTTACCCTTCAGATCTGGAACTGAACTCACTCCTGTGGCTTCCAGCCAAACAATAGGCATATGGGGTGGACATTTACATCAGGTAGATACACTCCTTGGAGCAATCAATCATGGTAGAACAGGCCAGTGTTTGCACAGGGAGACAGCTTTGGGAGGGGGAGTGCATGAGAGGGAACGACACAGGGAACAGGTAACTACAGGAAGGAAGTGGGAAGAGAGCTTTTACATTGTGAGGAATTGTAGTCAAAGTCATGAAACAATGTGTAGGAAATGCTGTATGGAAAATCAATTTGCTCTGTAAACTTTCACCCAAATCACAATAAAAATTAACAACAACAACAAAAAAGTTGCAATGATTGCTGCAAGGGAAGATATTAGTTTGGACCACAATGATAGTGTAGAGAGAAATAGACTAGGATCTGCTTAGGAAGAAAATCAATAGGACTTGTCATTATTTAGATGTAGGGGATAAGGAAAGAACATTATTAAGAATAATTGCCCACTTTCTGGCTGATGCAGCTACTGGAGCAATTATTCACTGAGTAGGAGGTCTGGGTTTGGAGAGAAGAATTATCAGTTACACAGATATTCCTAAAACTAGCATTGAGTGCTGTGCCAAGCTGCCCCAATACTATGCTTTACATGGACAACTTAATTTAATTTTAACTGCAGTCCTACACAATAGGTGCTATTTCCCCCATTTTTACAGGTGAGAAAACTAAGACTAATACTAAGTAAGTTATTGCCATTCTCAGAACTAAACAGTGGAAGAGCTGAAATTTGAGCCCCAAAACAAAACACTTTGCCATCGAGTTGATTCCAACTCTTTGTGAACCTATAGGACAAAGCAGAACTGCCACATAGGATTTCCAAGGCTATAAATCTTCACAGAAACAGATTGTCACACCTTTCTTCTGTGAAGCACCTGGGTTTGAACTGCTGACTTTGAGGTTAGCAGCTGAATTCTTTATCCACTGCACCACCATGTTTCCTGGATTTGAACCCAAATCTCTTTGTCTCTAAAGCACATGATTTTTAGTGACCACTCATACTTCTTCAGGACAACTCAGGCATACTCAGTGCAAATTTCATGATTCTAAAATAACTTGAGTATGTCTGGAAGTCTGAAGCCAAAGTTGCCCAGAAACTTGCAGACTTCTCAAGGATGCCTAAAGTAAAATGTCCACACTGGAAAGACCCAATTCTACACTTTCTCCCACACTTCACTCACGTTTGCCCTAACTTTAAGGGTATCTCCAGCTACCCTGATCACCCTCATCTTGCCTTCGTGAAACTCGAAAATCAAGGTGGATTACCCAATGAGCAAGGTAATCCTTGGCTTAATCAATGGCTTACTTGGGCTTACTTACTCGTCTGTAGTGAACAGTTCCACATGGGTTTCACCTTAACTTTGTGTGGTGAAAAACGTGTGACAATGATCACTACAGATGAGTCAGTAAGCACAAGGATGTCCATGCTTATCTTGCTTACTGAGTACTCCATCTCTGGTAGGTCTGAACCACCAGCCTTCTGGTTAGCAGTCAAGTGCTTTAGGTACGATGCTACCAGAGCTCCTCATCCTTTTCATGGATTATAAATTTGAAAAGAGGCTTTGATTCTGTAGGCATGTGCTGTAGATTTGGGAGAGAGAAAGATGCAAGCCATATCTAGAAGCAGAATCTTTGATGTGGTGAAAAAATGTGGAATTGTTCACTAGAAATTAGTAAATAAGCACAAATAAGCCTATGCTTACCTTCCTTATTGGATAATCTGACACTGCCTATAATACTGTCAGTCTCACCACTCATTTTTGCAATGATCACATGTAGGCTACCCTGGACTTCCATACATCGTCTCCTTCCTTACATTTTATTTTTTGTAACATGAATTTTCATACAGTATACACAAACATTTAAAAAAATCTTTTCATGTACTGAACCCAGATTGTTGTAAATGAGTTAATAAACACAGATTTCAAACTATGACACAAGGTGGGGCTGGCTCTCAGCCAATAGTCAAGTTTTACCCAGGTCATTATCTCTAGCTGTACTGTGGAGTCTCATTACACATGCATTTAACTTAAGCACATTCAAAAGAGAGAAAAGAGTACAATTTAAATAGAGCAGGCTATTATGTCTGCCATTCCAATCATTGAGAACATGTCTCATGAAATGGGAGGTGAATTTGCTGTTCCTTCAGCTGGCTGTGGTCTTTAAGGACTTCCCTCAGTGTGAGCAATTCTCCAGCAAGACTATGATTCTAGTGTTTAAAGGTACATATTTTAGAAGTACCACAATCCTAATTTCAATCAGCTACTTTTTTAGCCCTTGACTAAAGAAACAGTAACTGGTCTCAAGACTGGAGGAGAGCCTAGATCTGCTGGCCTGCTTGAGAGACAGTAAGAGATTTCCCCTGGTAATTCTGACAACACATGATTTGCATTCCACACTTTCCTTTGGGAACCAACCCCTGAGATATGACTACATTGATGGCAGCATATGTCAGTGTAATCATCTGACTTTCAAATTGCATTCTGCCTTTATTATTGAATACAAATGAGCACAAATTGGAAAATGAAAAGTGCTGATACAAGTGATAGTATACATCTCCAATGTAATGCAAATAGCCCAAAGACAGAAATCATTTGGCCTCTCGAAGTCAAATGGGAAGAAAAAGAACAAAATCATGCAACAGGAATGAAATGCTAGCTAGGTCCATGTCCAAAAGATAATCAATTATTGGGCATTTTGTATTAATCCTTAGAATCTCTTTCCCTCCCACCTTAGCCGTGATCACATACACATACTTAAACACACACACATACACAATTATAATATAGATGCATTTTCAGGTAAAGATCAGGTTCAAACATAAGGCATTCTCATTCCAAACTGCTCTGGCTGCCTACTGGGTAGGCATGTTCATTCTTGCCACTGGGGTTCCTCAGAATTCTGTTCATACCAACAGTTTAAAATTCAGAATTCTGTGATACCTTAGATTGCTGGTATCTGTTGCTGTCTACATGGTAAGCTTCTTGAAGCAGGTTCTAGGTCTTATTAATCTCTTTTCTGTAGTACCTAAGAAAACGGCTAACTAAAAAGGGGCCTTCTGCAAAGGCCATTGAGTGAATGAATAACTGAGTAACCAATTTTGCCTCTCTGAGAATAATTTCTTTTAATGAATTAGGGGAGAAGGAAAGATACTGCACATTAACAGTCTGGCTATGGTCTCCAGCACACAGACCCATGCTCCATGTTGTTCTGTCCTTACCTATCCAGTGAAATACAGCACAGGTGAAAAATCGAAGCTGTGGTGAGCAAGACGTCTAGAGATGTCCGGACAAGGCAAAACATCTCCCCATAAATCCAAATGTCTTGAACCAGCTCGATGGCACCAAAGGGCATCACCAGCACCGAAACCAGCAGATCCACAAAGGCAAGAGATACAATGAAATAATTGGTTTTTATTTTCCTGTGAGAGAAAAGTATAAAGGGGAGTCAGGGAGAGGGAGGAAGAAAAGAGGGAAGGGAAAGAAGGAGGAACAGAGGAAAGAGGAGGAAAGGGAAGTAAAGGAAGAAGGAAAGGTGGAAAGGAGGACAAGGAAAAGACAAACGTGTAATGTGAGAAAGACAAGTGTGAGAATTGTGAGACTCAGTTTCTCTTCTGTAACATGGTTGATATGGCCCTGTGTGATTCTGTCCCTTCTCTAGACCTTCCCTGCACCAAAAGCTTCTTCTCTCCTCTGGCTGGCTACTCTGGCTTTATCTAAGTTTGCTCCGGGCCTCAAGCCCCCCACTGCAGGACCTTTACAGAAGTAGATGCATCCCCACACTGTTGGCCCAATAAGCCCCAGCTACCCCTTCAAGTCCTCAGTTTGGTCATTCCCAAGAACCCTCTCAAGATACTTCCCTCACAAATGGTGGTGGACTTTATATTTGTGATACTTGTCCAAATTGTACTTTCACACTTATTTGCAGCATCATTTGCTTAGCACATATCTTGCTTAGAAAGGACAGCGGTAGATATAGGCAAGTACTGCATCTTTATCCCTTTTTATGGCTTGATGATTTTCAATCCAGGTTGAACACTAGAATCACCTGGTGAATTTTTATAAATATTGATGTTCAGTTCTTACTCTAAATTGATTAGTTCAGAATCCCTAGGATTGCCACATAAAACACAGGAATAATTTTTTAGTATATGTATGTCTAAGATAAGAAGGCTAGTGGTGCAATGGTTAAGGAATCAGCCACTAACCAAAAGCCCAATGGTTCAAATCTACTTGTGGCTCTGTAGGAGAAAAGATCTGGTGATCTGCTTTCATAAAGACTAACCTCAAAAAACCTAAGCTGTTGCCCAAATAGACTTTGACTCATAGTGAACTTATTGGACAGAGTAGAACTGCCCATAGATTTTCCAAGGCTGAAAATTTTTACAGAAGCAGATTGCCACATTTGTCTCCCACAGAGTGGCTGATGGGTTTGAACAAGGGATCTTTGGGTTATCAGCCAACCATTAAACCATTGCACAACCAGGGATCCTTCCAAAAGATTATGGCCTAGGAAACCATATGGGGGAGTTCTACTCTGTCCTATAGTGTCATTATGAGTTGGAAACAACTTGAAGGCACACAACAACACCAGCAACATGTCCCAAATATTTCATGGGACATATTTATACCATACATTAGTAATATTTAAAAAGCTCTTCATGTGATTCTAATTTCAGCCAGGGTTGGGTCTGGTAGAGTAGAAAAAACAGAAGCCCTAGGTTTAAGTCTTGGATTATTAATCATTAGTCAGTCATCCCTTCTCTGAATCATTGATAAATTTGGGAAGTTAAAATAAATATATATTTTTTAAAATGTATATATAGTAATGATAACTATTAAAAAAAGAGAGAGGAGCATAGAAAAAAGGGTGAGATGGAAGCATGTTTAATTGCTAACACTAGTTATGTTAGAGTTTTGTGACCCCCTTTTCATTGCTCTCTTTTCCAAAAATTGTTGCCATGAATTTACTTTGTTTCCTCCATAGTTACAAAGTATGATGGAAATGTTTAGACCCTGACTCCCCAGGGAGAGCCCAGAATGCCACCCAGTTTTCCTCATGCTGCTCACCTGAGCTGCCGGTCCCTGCACACAGCCACCATCACCAGCAGGTTCCCCAAGATGGCCATCAGGATAACCGCCGAAAGAAACGTAAGCAGCACAACTTTCTCCACTGACCCGAAACCCTCCTTGGAACTGCAAGTCACACAAAATGAAACAAGGAATTGAAGGAAACTCTGAAACATAAGAGAGATAACCCATCTTTTCCTCATTCACCGTCAGAAAGATCACTTCACCAACAGCAGCTGCAATACACATGTATTAGACACAAAACATATACCAAGTTGTCAGAGATTTGATTTTACTTGGATTCATAATCAACACCCATGGAAGTCAGAAAATCAGACATCATATTGGGCTGGGTCAAATCCACTGCAAAAGACCTCTTTAAAGTGGTCAGAAGCAAAGATGTCACTTTAAAGACTAAGGTGTGCCTAACCCAAGTCATGGTATTTTCAATTGCCTCATATGCATGTGAAAGCTGGATAATGAATAAGGAAGACCCAAGGAGAGATGTGCCTTTGAACTGCAGTGTTGGCAAAGAATACTGAAAATACCATGAACTGCCAGAAGAACTAAGAAATCTGTCCTGGAAGAAGTGCAGCCGGAATGTTCCTCAGAAACAAGAATGGTCAGAATTTGTCTCACCTACTTTGGTCATGTTGTCAAAAGGAACTATCCCATGGAGAAGGATAGCATGCTTGGTAAAGTAGAGTCAGTGAAAAAGGGGAAAGCCCTCAATGAGATGGAAAGACACAGTGGCTGCAGTGATGGCTAAAAGCATAGCAACTATTGTGAGGATGGTGCAGGATTGGACAGTGTTTCACTCTGTTGTAAATAGGGTCATGATGAGTCTGTGCTGACTTGACAGAATCCAACAACATGGCAATATGGTTTGTGGTATGATCCACATTTTTCAGATGAGGAAGATGAGGCTAGGGAGATGAATTTATTAGCTTGAAATCACATAACAAGCACTTAACTTGTGTCTTTCCTTCAGAGACCTTACCTCAGCTTGTACTCAGAAATGTACTTGGTTGATTCTTGTTTTGTGCACCTATGCAACTAGATTGTAAGCTCTGTGAATCAGACACGTTGTCTGATTTATTCATTGATACATATTCAATGTGTCATTCATGTGTATTGGATGAATGTATCATGTTATTGGATGAATGAGATATGAAAGTATAATATCTGTAAGTTATTTAGGAGATATAGGAAAAGAGTTTTACTTTTAATAGACTAAAATGTTCCCCTTGATAAAGTTTGAAAGATCCTTAAAATTTCTAGACCCAAAAGACAGATTTCAATTATGGAGAAACTTAGTTTCAGAGAGCGTAAGTGAGTTCTCAGAGCATAACAGTGGCTGGTGTGAGAGAGCCTGCCTATTCTGTGAGCCAACACTGGCAACACACTGTCTGCCAATCAAAGGTTATTTATCTTTACTGAGCTCTTTTGACTGAAAATCAAGGTTGGTCCCAAATGGCAGATACCTGCCAAGTCCTGGCTCTAGCTTTGTCTGTAACTTCTTCCGTGAGCCCTGGCAAGAAGACAAGGTGTCAAGTAGATTAAGGAATTGAGACAGGTAGAAGGCTGCAGGGTTAAATGAAAGCCCAGGATACAAAGCTTAAAAAAAAAAAGAAAAAGAAAAAGTCCAGCCAGTAAACAACATCTTGGAACATGGGGTAAAGGCTGAAAAAAAAAAAAAAACCATACCCGGTTCTTTATAAAACATTTCAATTCTTTATAAGACATTATGTAGATATTTTTCAAGCAAACCAATTTAATTCAGTTCTTCAGGCACTTCGCTGCAAGATGACTGCTATATGACCTTCCTGTTTTCTATTCCAGGGAGTCCTTCCCCAACAAGTGTTGTCCCTGTCAGGCTCTGGCCTTCTTCTGACCAAAAATGACCAGGAGAGGCTTAGGTTTTCCACATGAACAAAGCTTTTATTAAGGGAAAGAGAAAATAGCTCATGAGCTACTTGGAGTGGCAGTATTGAGGAAAAAGCACCTACTGGGAATTGAACCAGCGTCCTTGAGCCCTTGCAGTGAATTCCATCTTGAGCTGCCTCCTGTGCTCGTACCTAATCTTCATAACTCCACCTCTTTTCCTTTTCCAGCCCAAAACTCTATAAATCTCTGTAAATCCTTTTTTAGGGGAGAGAAAGGCTAGTGTTGCCTGGCCCCTCTTTAGAGGTCTCTGCTTTCAAGCTACTTTTCTTTCCTTTAATAAAGTTTTGTCCTTGTGGGAAGCCTGAGCCTCTCCTGGTCATTCTTGATCAGTAGACAGCAAGAGCCTGACCAGGCTAACCTCTGAGAGGGGAAAGGCCCCCTGATGACAGAATCAGTCTTAAAGCAGCTGGATGGTTTATTTGCTTGCTTGCTTACTTACTTACTTATTTTTGCAAGTCTTTATAGATGTTTTCTGTTCCAGGGAGTCCTTCCCCATCAAGGGTTGGCCTCATCAGGCTCTGGCCTTCTTTCTGACCAATAATGACCAGAAGAGGTTTAGGTTTTCCACACAAACAAAGCTTTTAAGGGAAAGAGAAAGTAGCCCATGAGCAGAGACAAAGAGAGACTAAGCAACACTAGCCTTTGTCTCCTCAAACAAAAAGTTGCTGGAGTTTTTAATGGTTTTGAAACAGGTGGGGATTTTCCGAGAAGGGTGGTAGTTTCCTAGAAAAGGGTGCTGTCCCATGCATGTGCAACGGTTCAATTTCCAGTCAGTGTCCTTGCCTCAATACGCCACCCCAGTGAAGTTATATAGTGTTCCTCTCCCAGCAATGTGCAGATGTTTGGGGAACTGAAGAGGTTAGATTGTCCACAAACACCGGCAAAAGATTTTGCAAGATAGGGAGTATGGAGCTAGATAAGTTGCTTGCTTACTTCTGTACCCTGTGTTCCAGGATGAGGGTTAGTTTTGAGCTACAACAGTTAGGCTTGCAGCTTGTGTTTTTTTAGTTAACCCTTCAGGTCTTGCCATCTTCTGCCTGACTTGGGATGAGTCACAAAAGCTATCTTTAACTATCCAAATGACTGTCATTTAAAATAGTTGTTGTTAGCTGGTGTCAAAACAGCCCCCAACTCACGGAGACCTCATGCACAACTCAACAAAATGCTGCCTGGTTCTGTGCCCTCCTCATGATCAGCTGCAAGACAGAATCAGGTTACTCCATAAGCAAGCTAACAATGTGCTTAGGACATAACAAAACAGGGGCACCAATTGACCAAAGCAAAGATCCATAGATGCCAAGCAGATAGGACACAAGGAAAAGCAAATGTTACCATGTAAGGGAACCGGCAGGGCACTAAATGAAACTGATTATAGCTCTAGTGTGTGAGAATGTGCCATCTGGAAACAAGGTTCACGCAGCACCACAAGGGTACCCATACATGAGGTTCTTTAAGCTATGAGGCCCCTACCACTTCAACACCTTCATTAACATTTGTCTCCTATGGTTCCCTCCCATGTAGCTGAAACTCCTTATCTCAGCAGGTCTCTTGGGAGTATACTATTTCTTTCTAATAAATAGAAGGTGGAGGTGGTCTGTTGAGTCTAACTCTTGCTACAATCATTCATTGCTACATGAATCCAATGAGAGGAGTTAACTGGACAAGGATGGATTATATTAATTGATAATAGGTCTATAGTTCATTTTGAAAGAACTGTCTTGTACATCTACATCTGCTGATCCAGCAGCTCCAGCCAGGAAGGCAAGCAATACTCTTTGCCATGATACAAACATAAGAGTATGCTCTTGTGCACTCCCTGGTAAACAATCTATGGGAACTCCAGCCCCAGATAACATGCAAAACCAAGCAAGCTTGAATAAATCGGCCACTGTAATTAATTCAATCAAGTTACTTTTTTTAACTGTATAGCATTTACAGCTACATCCCAAATTTTGTAAACAATATTTATAACTTTAAAACATGTTTGACATACATTCAGACACAATCTAGTGTACATTTAATATAATACTAACATGGGTAGTGTCTTGCTGAAGATAATTTAAAAATGGTTGCAGCAGTATATTGACAGAGAACTTCCAGAAATGCAAGCTGGATTCAGAAGAGGATGCAGAATGAGGGATATCATTGCTGATGTCAGATGGATCTTGACTGAAAGCAAGGAATACCAAAAAGATGTTTACCTGTGTTTCATTGACTATGTAAAGACATTTGATTGTGTGGATCTTAACAAATTATGGACAACATGGAGAAGAACTGGAATTCCAGAACACTTAATTTTGCTAATGAAAAACCTGTACATAGACCAGGAGGCTGTTGTTCAAACAGAACAAGGGGATACTGCATGGTTTAAAATCAGGAAGGGCATGCATCAGAGTTGTATCCTTTCACCATACTTATTCAATCTGTATTCTGAGCAAATAATCCAAGAAGTGGGACTATATGAAGAAGAATTCAGCATCAGGATTGGAAGAAGACTCATTAACAACCTGCGATAGGCAGATGACACAACCTTGCTTGCTGAAAGTGAAGATGACTTGAAGTACTTACTGATGAAGATTAAAGACTACAGCCTGCAGTATGGATTACAACTCAACATAAAGAAAACGAAAATCCTCATAACTGGACCAATAAGTAGCATCACATAAATGGAGAAAAGGTTGAAGTTGTCAAATATTTCATATTACTTGTTTCCACAATCAACACCAATGGAAGCAGGAGTCAAGAAATCAGATAATGTATTGCACTGGGAAAATATGCTACAAAAGATGTTTTTAAAGTGCTGAAGAGCAAAGATGTCTCTTTGAGGACTAAGGTACACCTAACCTAAGCCATGGTATTTTCAATCATCTCATATGTGTGTGAAAGCTGGACAATGAATAAGGAAGAACAAAGATGAGTTGATGCTTTTGAGCTGTGGTGTTGGCAAAGAATACTGAAAGTATCACTGACTGCCAGAAGAACAAACAAATATGTCCTGGAAGAAATGCAGCTGGAATACTTCTTGGAAGGGAGAATGGCCAAACTTCATCTCACCTACTTTGGTCATGTTGTCAGAAGGGACCACTCCCTGGAGAAAGATATCATGCTTGGTGAAGTAGAGGGTCAGCAAAAAAGGGGAAGGCCCTCAGCGAGATGGATTGACACAGTGGCTGCAATGA